GTGATTTTTTTCTTTTTTTTTAACTCTTTTTTTAATCATTCCTCTGGGAAAGCCTGTTAGCACCAACAAAGATACCATGGCTTTATCCTGGAAAATCAGGAGACCAAATCTGGGCTAAAATCTGACAACCAGGTCCTGAGTTTCTGGGGATTTTGATGAACGGTCTGACAATCAGATACATATTTTTTAATTTCCATGCAGTGTCTTACTCAATCTGGAGCGTGAGTTTTCTCCTTGCTATTTTAGGAGCACTTCGAGGTTGTGCAAAGAAAATCTCAAGGTGTCGATGGGAATTCATTAAGGTGTTGGATTAATTTATGTCAGCACGAAGAAGAGGAGTCCCAGGGTTGGGGTTTTGGGGCTGGGGACATGGCGGAGATGCCTCTCCTCTTCCAGTGAGCTGAGAAACAGGGGCATTGACCCCAATTTTCTTTTTTTTTTCAGGATAATTTCCCTTTTTCTCAGGATTTGGACCTGCCTCTTCCCTCTTTTCTCCTCCCTGATGTCTCCGGAGCGTTGGGTTGTTCCTATTCTCCTGGTTGCAGTCGCACTCCCGGGCGAGGGGCAAGGTGGGATGCAGAAGGATGATTTTTTTCCTGCTGCATCCCAGCATTCCCACCCTTCTCCTGCACATCCTGCTGAGGGGTTTGGCCGTGGGACGAGCGTGATTCCGCAGCAGGATCGTAGCCCGGGACAGGGCTGTGGGCGGGCGCCCGGTGCTCCCGCGCTGACGCAGCTGCGAGCCATAGTAAACATTGAGCAAGAGGCGCTTTAAAAATAAAACCGCCTGGACACGTATTCCCACGTGCAATAAACCCAAATTAAAAAGAAACAGTAGAGGTCTGTGCCGAGCTGGGGACTCGCCTTGGCTTTTAAGGTGTTGCTTTTGCAGCAATGGGAAAGCAGCCCAAGGACGTTTGAGCTGGCAAAGGCTGCGGCTGTGGACCCCTCTGCAAGAAATGCAGGGGTTTTGCTGCATTGCTGGCATCTCGGAGTGCTCTGGAGCCGTGGGAGATCAAACAGGGAGTTAAATTGCAGTGATGGGCGTGTGCAGGGGGTGACACTGGAGGCCTTTAGGGGATGTACAGCACCGAGGCTGTAAATTAAGCCGAAAAGCAACTGCCAGCCCCGTGCGCGGGGTGCGAACACGGCCCGGGGAGGCTTGGGGCCGGGTGCCGGGTTGCAGCGGCCGCGAGAGCGGCTCGGGGGGACGCGGGACAGGCCGGGCGCACCTGATGCGGCCGCTCGGGTTTCAGGCCGCCGTGTTCGGGGGCTCGCGTTGCTGTCGTCTCGTGCATGGCACCGAGTCAAAGCGGCTCCGGTGCCTCGGGTGTCACCAGAGCCGCCCTGGCAGGCAGGGGAGGAGGTGGCAAAGATTTACACTGTCAGCGCTCCCCGGCTCCCGGCTGTTTGGAGCTGCAAGTGCGTGCAGGAGCACTATGTAAGTATGCAAGACTGATGCATAGGTGCATATAGGAGCAATAACTGCCCCTGCTGCTTGCGGGATGCTCATACCATCCAGGTACTGGCTGAGCTTGGATTCCCTCCCCCCCCACCCGAAGAGTAGGCATAAGCCTTTATCCAGTTGTTTGTGTCTGGGCCCACTGGTAGCGCGTGGTGCTCAGGGCCGGACTGGGGAGGAGGTGACGGAGCTGCTGGCCAAGGGCGGCTGCAGAGACCCCGGCTGCAGCCCGTGCCGCAAATCTCCAGTGTCGAAGGAAACTGGAGTCCCCACCTTTGCTTTCCCCCAGACCGCCTGGGGACGGTGGATTTTGGCAGGGAACGGTGGATTTTGGCAGGGGACGGTGGATTTTGGCAGGCACCGCGTGCCGAGGTGCTCCACGCGCCCCCTCCGTCGCGGCCGGACGCGGGGCGATGTGCCGGCGGTTGGTGATATTTCATAAGCGGCAGAGCCCCGTAACGGGCCCAGCGGGGCAGTTACTCAACCTCTTCCCCGGTGCTGGAGGCCGCAGGGTTTCCGGCACATGGGGCTGCTCTTTGGGATGCACCTTGTAGATGCCGTGTCCTGCTGCGGCTCCTTGCGAGGTGGCAGCGGGGACCAGGAGCCGCTGGGATGCCAATGCCGGCAGATGATTGGGATGCCGCGCGGCGCCACGTGTGGCCCCTTCTCCTCCCGCTCGGCCCGGAGCCGCCTGCGGACGTTTGGCGTGTGGTTTGCGCGGTCGCCGCTATCTGCTCTGCCCGGCGGCCGCGGCCCCGCTCCGCGGTGAGTCACTCCCTCGTTCCGGGGCTCAGCGGAGGGGAAGCGGTTTCCAGCGGGGCTGGCACATCTGTGCCCGCTGAGTTCCACCAGCGATGGCCCGTGGTGCTTTACGGGACGTTACATGGTGCGGGACCACGTGGGGACACGCGTCCCTGCCACCTGCTCCCGCCTTCCTGCGGAGGCTCCTGGCAGGCACGGGGGACATGGAGAGGCAGCGGGTGCTGGAAAGACCCTTTTTCTCCCCATTATTTCCTCTGACTTTCCTCCCTGCTCCCACAAGTCTCTCCAGAAGCAACCAGCTCCGTGCCCCGTGTGCCGGGCTGCTTTGAGCCCATGTGGACCCTGCGCTGCCAGTGCTCTTTGGGAGATGACACATGTTTTTGGGGAAATGGTCAGGAACGGGGGGCCCAGCTGGTGTCGAGTGCCCGTGTGTGTCCCGGTGGTGCCAAGCCACCCGCGGGCGAGCAGCTGGAGCGTGGCACAGCCTGCCGGGACCTGCCGGCGTGTCCCGGGGCGAGGAAGGCTCTTGCGCTGGTTCAGCAAACGCTTTGACCCCGGGCAGAGGGAGGCGGTTGCGGTTTCCCCCTTTCCCCCTCCCTTTCCCCTGGCAGGCGCCCGTGCTCGGGCTGAGCCGTACGTTGCTCGCTGCGGTAGAGTTTCTCCCCTTGGCATCGCTTGCTGGCTCACAGATCCGAGGAGGAAGCGACTTGCCCGCGGCGCCCGCCTGCAAACGGAACCGCTTGGTGTGTGAAGCAGCCGTCGCGGCCCTGGGGCTCTCGGGGGGAGCAGGGCAGCAGGTCTGGGGCTGTGCACGAGGCCGTCCTGGAGCTCAGGGGCTGTGTGCAGGATGGGGTGCCCTCATGCTGCCTTTGGGATGGATTTGCACAGGGTTCATTGCTGGGAAGGCTCCTGGCAAGACTTTCTCCTGGGAAATGCCCAGCTTCTCTCGCTAGACACTTAGCAGAGGTGGCTTCTGGGCTTGTCTGGTGGCATCGGATAGGGGCAGATGGAAGCCTGTCCCATGCTGGATCTGGTGTGTCCTGGGTGTGGAGCGGAATGGAGCAATGGATGCTGCCAGCACAGTGCGTCCCCCGGCTCTGTGCTCTACGCTGTCCTTGGATAGGATGGTGCCTGAATACAGGGATTGTTCCCAGGATGACCTGGAGTGTAGCTGGCACCCAAATACCTTTCTGGGTATTGGTAGCTTAAGCTGTGAGCAGGCGTCTCAGTACTGGGTGGCAGGGGCTGTGTCCTCTTTGCAGGGCTCAGCCTGTGGCTTCGTGTCCCATTGGGGCCACCGCTGTCACCGTGCATGAGTGGGGACTTCCATTCCCAGGGATATGTGTTGCTCCGTGTTTCCAGGCGCGGACAGAGCAGTGGGTGGTGGTGGTGGCCATGGCGAACGCGTTTCAAAGGAGAGCTGGTAAATACAGCTGGTAAATCCCTGGGGAAATCCATACGTGGCTGCTGCCCGGCTCCCTCCAGCACTGCAAGGAGCAAATACATTTGCCGTCCACAGAGCAAGCGAGCCAAGGTTTTGGGCTTACAAAGTGAGGTGCAAATGACTGTGCAGTGAGACCAGATAGCGACTTCCAGCCGCTGGGAAGGAGCTCCGCTGGGAACGAGCTCCGCTTGGAGCTTTGTGGAGCCCGCGGCTCGTGCCGCAGCACGAGGGTGACGCTGCCGGGGACGGGCTGAGAGCCTCCCCCAGCCAGACGGGCCGTGGAATTGGGCCAGGAGCTGTGCAGAGCACCGCCTCGGTGAAGCACATGTGCCGCCGTGCAAACATGTACGCAGAAGAGCTCCCGGCTGTCTAAATAATGTGAAATATTGACTAACTCTCGCAGATGGTGCTCCGCGTGCAGCGTCAGGGACTGAGCTGGTGGGCTTTGGTGGGATTTTTGTTTTCTTCATCCATTTAGATGCTGGACCCTCGACAAACTCGGTGGTGCCTGTTGCTTTCTGTGGGGCTGTTGAGTTTGGGGAAGTTTTGGTGTTAGTGGCGTCTGAGCGTGGGGGGAGGGCTCGCCTGCTTCCTCCGGACTCTCCCGCTGGCCTTTATTTTTTTACTTTATTTTTACTTTACTCAATTAAACGGTTACGCAGAGTGGGAAGTGGCTGCTTGCTCTGCACGGCGCAGCGCGGTGCCTGGCTTTGCAGTATTGCTCGGGTGCCGTTTGGTGGCAGCCTTGCAGAGGGATTGCTGTGTGCGGCCGGGAGCGGGTTTCTTCACCGTTACTGCAGTTGTCTCTGTGACAAAATGCCACGGATGGTCACCTGTGTGAGGGTGCTGCTGGAGCCCCGAGGGACCAGTAACCTAGACATGGGCCAGCCCAGCGGCAGCAGGGCCAGGGGACACGCTGCCTTCATACCACAGTGATGGGCAGCAGGTTTTCTGCTCCATTTTGCTTATCCTCCCCCGGATAAGATGCAGGTTTGGGGCAGGTAAAACTCACTTCATGCGAACTATTGCAGACGATGCTTTCCAACTTGCTTTCCCCCAAACCACTCTTATCACCACCTGGCAAGCGTCCCAGGGATGGCCCTTGCCTCTAGGCCACCGAGTCTGCGATAAAATGCCTTATCAGCCCATTATTTAGTCTTTTTTTGCCCACGGATTTATATCTGTGCCATGACCAGACCCGGGGCCGAGCCGTGGGCTGCGTCTCGCCACCGCTCCTGGCGCGTGGGGGCCCGGCAGCCACAACAGTCTGTGCCGCCGCGGGGCTCCTTGCTGCTGGGGACTGAGTTGCGTTTCCTTCTTGTGTTGCCACAGGCTTTTCCCATCTGCCGAGCGGGCTGTACCCGTCCTACATCCCGCTGAGCCACCTGGAGCCGCCCAGCGCCGGCAGTCCCCTCCTGGCGCAGCTGGGCCAGCACAGCCTCTTTGAGTCGCAGAAAGGTGGGTGCGGGTCCCCGGCCGTGGCACCCATCCCTGCTCATCGTGCAGCTCGGGGCCCTCCGGGTGAGGCGGTGTTGAGGGGAAAGACGGGAATGCCTTGGGGTCGGTGCCTGGGGGTGTTTTCTAGGAAGGTGGGGATGCTGCTGAGATGGGCCCATCACTACTCCCCCAAGATTTCTGCTCTTAGGACAGCCTTGAAGGTGAGGGATTCCCCAGGGGCTGTGGGGAAGGTCCTAGCAGCACCTTTCTCCTTCCAACCTCTTCCTCTGCCATTTGGGATGTGTTCCTGGGAACCAGCCAGGTCCCTCCTAGATGCCTCCACTTGCTGCTACAGCAAAGGGCTCAGTGTGCAGCAGAGACAGGACTGTCCCGCATCTCACCAGGATGTCCTGCGTGTGTCTCCATCCTGGACATGCTCCAACATCCCAAACCCCCCATTCCCTGCCCACTGCCAACCTCCTGCCTATCTCCACATAGCTTTTCCCTGGGGAGGGTGGAGGCCCCATGTCATATCTCTTGTTTTTGCCCCACAGATGGGTTCTACCTGTCGGGCCATGCGGGCCAGTCGGCTCTGCACGCGCAGCCACCCCTCTCAAGGAGCGCGGGCAGCCACACGCCGAGCGCACTGCTGCGGGAGAAGGAGCTGGGGCAGCTGCACAAGAGCTCCAAAGAAAGCCTGAAAGACCCCGGTGGGAAGGAGCGGGGCTGCCGGAGCGACCTGCCCTTGCCCTTTGCCAAAAAGGAGGGCAAGGCCAAGGAGGAGCCGCGGCCGCGCAGCGTGGTGGACCTCACGCAGGACGCCAAGCCAGAGGGCGAGCGCAAGGCCAGTGTGGTGGAGAAGGTGGTGAAGGCCGGCGAGCGCCTCTCGCCCTTCCTGGCCGAGCACGCGGCGAGCCGCGGCGGCGGGGAGCCCAAGTCCAAGAACCCGCTGCAGAGCTCTTCCCTCAGCAACTGCAATGGCGGCGGCGACGGCGCCGTGCTGAAGGCGCTGGGCGCCGAGCAGGAGCGCTGCGCCAAGGACGCCGCCCGGCACGACGAGAACGTGCGGCCGGCGGCGCACGCGCACGCCGAGCGCCTCAAGCGCGGCGAGCCCCTGCTGCCCGCCGTGGGCGCCCTGCACGTGCCCTGCGGCTGCTCGTCACCACACGCCGCGCCGCCCAAGATGGCGCCCGCCGCCGCCTTCCCACCGCAGCCCGTCCATTCCGGCGTCTACACCATCTTCCCGCCGGCCAAGGAGCTGGGCAGGGAGCACAAAGTCATCGCCCCCACCTTCGTGCCTTCGGTGGAAGCCTACGACGAGAGGAGCGGGCCCATCCAAATCGCCTCGCAGGCCCGCGACGCCAAGGCGAAGGACAAGGAGCTGGGCAAGGCGGGCGTGCTGCAGTCGCCTGCCGAGCGGTGCCTTGCCGATGCCTCCCGCACGCTCCTCTCGCAGGACTTCTCTTGCCACAGCGATGCCAAAAGGATGGAGGCGCTGAGGGAGAAGGGCTCGGTGATCAGGGCCACCTCCATGGCGCTGAAGAGGCAGGTGGCTTCGGAGCCCTTCCTCAACCGGCCGGGGCTGGGCTCTCCGGAGAGCAGGGAGTTCCTGGCCTCCAAGGACTTGCTGAAGCCGAGTCCGGAGGCGGAACATCGCCCCTGCGACCGGGAGCGCTTCCAGCGGTCCAGCTCCAAAGATGCAGCGAAGGTCTACAGCACTTTGGACTCCTCCCGGCAGCACCTGGAGCACGGCCAGCTGAAGCCGCCCGAGCAGAAGTGGAAGCCCTTTGAGATGGGCAACTTTGCCACCACGCAGATGGCGGTGCTGGCCGCGCAGCACAACCACGTCAGCCGGGCGGAGGAGGAAGCCAAGAAGGTCTACCTTGACCCCAGCGGCCTGCCGCGCTCCTCCGTGGTGGGCTCACGGGGTGCCGCGGACGTCCTCCACCCCGCGTCCCACGGAGAAGGGTCGGCCATGCAGAGCCTCATCAAGTACAGCGGCAGCTTCGCCAAGGAGACCACGGCCCGGCAGAGCTGCGGCAAGAAGAGCCCCTTCGGTGGCCTGGGCAACATGAAGTTGGACTCCTCGCAGCTGGGGGCCTCCAAAGTGCAGCAGCTGTTGTCGCAGCAGCCCGCGAAGCAGCTGAAGAGGGACCCCGAGAGACCCGAGAGCGCCAAGTCCTTTGGCCGCGAGAGCATCGGCTCCCAGGGCGAGGTGGAGGTGAGGCACTTGCCCGTGGGCATTGCTGTGGCCGTGGCCCGGCAGAAGGACAACAGCAGCAGCAGCAGCAAGCTGGGGTCCAGCCTGGCAGACCGCGATCGCTCGCTGTCCCTCGGCAGCATCAAAGGTAGGTACCTGGGTCTGTCTTGGGGCCTTTCTGCATGGATCTGGTCACTCTGTAAAGTGGCTGCTCTGTTCTTGTCCCTCCCAGCTGCCCTAGTTTTATAAGGTTGATGTCTTGGAGGTCCTTCAGGGCAGGGACCTGCCTTTCTCTCCAAGCAAACCTGCTCCTTGGTGTTGTCCAAGTGCAGCTCTCTCCATCAGGGAGGATACAGTGGTCCCTGTGATGTGACTAGGCCTTGGGATGCAGGCGGATGGTTGGTACCTTATTGGTACCAGTGAAAGATGCAAGGCGGCTGGTGGCCAAAGCCCAGGAGATACAGGTGCTATAGGAGGACTTGGGGTGCTCAGAGTAGTGTCCACCAAAACCTCATGGATCCATTCTGACAACCTTCAGGTTATTTTTTTTTTCTTTTACAAGAATTCCCTCTGCTAAGTAAAACATTTCTCTAGCAGTTTTTGTTACATAGAAGCTTCCCTCACTTGCCATGCTGAGCATCTCTGAGGGAATATGTGTGGGCCTCCATGGACACCCCAGCGTCATGACTGATCCCCAACTGCTAAGGGGGTGACAGAGAGTCCAACCTGCCTTCATGCTCCCATTTTAATCTAATGGTTTTGATTTAAAAGGCTCAAGCAGAGGAAGCTCAGAGGCAGCAATAGCAGCATCTGCTGAGGAGTAGTGGAAAGCTCTGCCCTGGTTGTGCTAAATCCGTTCAGAAACCAGTTTCAGTGAAGTCAGGGCAGGGCTGACTTGTCCCTCATGTCTTGCTAAGCCTGCAGTGGTGCAAGAAAGGATATTCTCCGTGCAAGAGCTCTCTGTTGGTGCCTGCCAGCAGCACTGATGCCTCCATGGCCCCTTCCGCAGCATCCAAACCTGGAGGGTCCAAGTGTGGCTCCCACTTGTCCTTGTAGAGTGACAATATCCGCATATAGGTAGTTGTGTCCATCCGCATCCCGACTGTTTCCCAGCTTGCTCCCCAGTTCTATGACAGGGAACCCGAGGCCTCCAAGGTGGTGAGGGCTGCGAGCTGGTGGACTGCGGTGCTGACACGAGGGGTCTCATCACTCCGTGTGTGTTTCCATGATCTGCTTGGCTTGCAGCGAGACCCACGTAGGGACCCTCCGGAGCAGGGACAAGCTCGCCCGTGCCGAGAGGCGATGCCAAAACGAGCAGCCAGAATGCCTGGTTGTGAGAAGCGGCTTCTCCAGAGCGCGCAGCCCCTCTCCCCATCCCATTTTGTCCCCTTCCCATCATCATCCCCACGCCCGAGCCCCTCATGGGCAGCACAGGGAGCTGTTTGTTCAGCCGCACAATCGCCCAGACCCTCCCAGCTTGCGTTAAATGTAATTTACCGAGCCGAACTAAAAGGCTGCAAACAGGGCTTGGGTTCTGGCAGCCCTCCGGGCCCGTTGCTAAGGGATGCCCTTGGCTTTCAGACAGAAAACAAGCCCGCTTTTCTCCTCCGTTTGCCCTCCAAGCGCTGCCCCCCTTCTTTGTGCGCCAGGAGATATTCGTCTAATAACATTAGCTTGCCTGCGCCGAGTGGACGGTGCTTGAATGTTTAGACCTTTTAAGAACGAGAAAGCAGGCTTTAGTTGGCTAATCTGTAGTATTTGGCAAGTAAAATGCAAGTATTTAGTGCCGGGCATGGGTTGTCAAGGGAACGGGTCTCAGCCTTTCCTCTGTGCATAACTGATTGAATTTTTCTATGCGGCCCGTGCGTCATGTTCATATATATAGACAAAATGATCATTCACTGTCCGGACAATCGTCGATCTGTACAGAAAAGGGACCGTCCTGTTAGTGGGCTCAGGGCTAGGGAGAAGTTATGTGAATAGGAAAGTGTGTGTATGTGGATGGGGGGATGAAAAAAGATAATAAACCTGCCTATAAATAACTGGTTGCAAATAATGTATGTGGAGAGGGAGGAGCTGAAATAAAATAATGTGTTTCTAATAAAAGGCTGGTGGGGAGGGGGTAGGTGCGGGTGGAGGGTCGCTTGCCTAGGGCCGAGGAGGGGAAGGAGGTTGCAAATTAACCAAGGGATGGCTCCAGATTGCAGATGCCAAAGAGGTGGACAGGCATTTATTGGGAAAATAAATACCCAAAGGGGCTCCGAATGGGAAAAATAAGTACGAAAAAGGGACTGCAAATGGGAAAGCTGAGCCTGGGAGTGCATGAGGATTTCAAACACACCACCACGGTCGGGGAGAGGGGCAGGGGGGTGTTAGAGCCCTGGCACAGCTGGGTGCAGGGGGATGGTGGGAGCCACTGTGCCTTCCAGCGAGGACCTGAGTGATGGAGATGCCCATGGGAGCATGTCCCGCACGGGGACAAGTGGCAGACCGGTGTGTCCATGCAAAGTCCTTTGCGAGGCAGAGGTGTGTGCCAGGTTTTGAAGCATCTCTGCTTTTTTTTTGCCTGAAGCCCATGGAAGGAGCATAGGGAGAGGAGATGGGAGAGATGTTGTCTTCTACCCAGATTCCTTCTGACAGTGAAAGCTGAGGGAATTGGAGACTTGACAGCAAAAACCGTGGGCTGTCCAGGGTTGTGGGAATACACAGCGGAGTTCTCCTTCAACAGACTGTCAGCAGAACAGACTTGATGTTACGAGATGCCTTCCCATGTGCCAAGCCCTGTCCTCACAAGACAACAGGGACCCCGTGGGAGAGGAGCATCCCCTGGGCAGGGGACACGATCTGGTGGGAACTGGACATGCTCCTCCTTGATCCGCTCCAGCCTTGCCAGACCGTCCGACTGCTTGTTGCAAGCAGGGATGGAGTTAGGGGCAGGTCCTATCACGAATTACAAAATGGATGGCGGCAACTAGGAACTGTGGAAAACTGCCTGTATAAGAAAGATGCTAGGGAAAAGCAAGTCTAAAATCTGAGCGCTGGGTACTTGGATAAAGAAAGGACTGGCCACAGTGGTGTCCTCGAAGGGCCAGCGAGGTGCTGCCGAGCAAATGTGGCATCTTTTGTTGCTGTGAAGGTTGCTGTCGCGCCAGGCTGTGTTTGCTCCAGCTGTTTGGGTTCTGGGTGAGCTGTTTCTCCAAACATCCAGTCCTCCCACCTTTTATTTTATTTTTTTTTTTTAACCATCAGGAACTTCTTGAGTAACAGAGCTAGAATCCCACCCCCGCAAGGTTTGTTGAGCAGGATAGTGAGGCTTCATGCAGGGATTAAACTGGGTCTAATCTCCTTTGGAGAGAGATGGGGAGTCTGCCCCTGTCCTTGGGCAGATTGGTCCTGTTGGTGCCAGCTCTGGGAAACTGGCCTGGGAGAAGTGAGACCTCAAAAATGATGCTTCCAGGAAGCCCCCTTAGCAAGAGTATTTTGATCACGCAGCCAAGGGTAGAGTCCTGCCCTGTCACTTAAAGTTTCAAGCTCATACAGCTTTGGGGACAGTGATGTTTGGGGGTGCTGGGTCCCAGCGTACCCTGTCTCTGTGTTCCAAGCTCTGAGCGGACGGCATTTCCCAAGCTGGATCTCATGCCTGGTGGCTCTGGGTTTCCTCTTAGGGCACGGACGCTCGGAGGAGGACTGTGGCGATGAGAGGAGCCGCCACCGGGACAGCCACCTCCTGGCAGGGCGCTTGGAGCGGGATCAGGAGAAGCTGCTCAGGTGAGACTCGCCCAGGGATGGGGCCTCTGGCTGCCACTGCTGCAAGTTGTGCTTGGGGACAGCCTGTGTGGAGAGGGACTAGGGATGTGCCTGTCCTAGTGCTGCTGCCACCAGCCTTGCTGCTCTGGGGAGGCCGTGGTTTTCTTTGGGGTGTCACGGGGTTAAAGATAGTCCCAGATCTGCAACAGAGTGACCCTAACGTGCTGCTGCAAGTCTGTGCCCCCTCCAAGGAGACAGAGAAATGGGGTGCTTTATTCTGGCCGTGACATTACCACCCTGTGCCCCTGCTGTGCTCGAGTGCCTGAAGCCGCTTTGCAAATGGTCTCATTCTGCAGCTGGTTGGTCCCGCCGGGCTGCTCCGGCCACGCGGTGCCTCCGGTCATCTCTCACCCTCTCTCTTGCCTCCCCCGCGTGCAGAGAGAGCAAGGAGCTGGCGGATTTTGCTCGGATCCACCCCTCGGGCTGTGCCACGAACGGCTTGAACTCCAACCTCATGGTGACGGGAGGCCCGGCCCTGCCGGGCTCCGGCCGCTGGTCGGCAGACCCGGCTTCGCACTTGTCGGCTCATCCCTGGCTCCCACGGACAGGGAGCCCCTCCATGTGGCTGGCCGGCCACCCCTATGGTGAGTGTCCTGAAGGGAACGCTGGGTATCCAGGGGGATACGCGGTTCCGGGAGGTGCATCCCCGAGCGCCCGGCAAGGTGGGATGGGATCGAGGTATTTTGGAGCAGTGAAACTGCCTGTGGCCTTGGCACTGTCGGGAGATGTCCTGAATACCCCGAACTGTGATCCTGGCGTTTCTTCTTCCAGGACTTGGCCACCCTTCCCTGCACCAGGGCATGACTCCAGGCTTCCCCCCTGCCATGGGGGGAGCTCTCCCCTCCGCCTACCAGTTTGCCAGAGACCCGCAGTCAGGACAGCTTGTTGTCATCCCCAGTGAGCACTTGCCGCACTTTGGTAAGGCTGTGAGCGTGACGCGGGTCCCATGGCGTGTCCCACGGCGGCGGGAGGGAGTGGGGTGGGTGCATGGGGCCTTGGACAACACGTAAGCATGAAGCCTTCTGCTTCAACTTGAGGGTGCTCATGGGCCCAGTGAAGATGATGGCTTCTTGTGGGATACACAGTGGGGAAGCAAGGAAAAGGATTTCTGGCTGCCTGGAGCCACATGGTGCTGTCTGCATTGACCATGTCCTGTTGCTCCTGCTAAGCTGGGGCTTTGCACTCTGCAGCTTGCCTGAAGACTCTGACAGCTGTGGAGGAATAGAGACTTTGGAGGTGGCTAGTTAGGAACCTAGATACCCACGGGGACCAGAAGCTGCATCTCTGGGCTGAGTGAACTGGACACTCTCATTTCAGTGCATTTTGGAGATGGGAAGTGTAGCCCTCAGCTGCAGTTGCAAAGCAAGTCCCATAGCCTCAGGGCCTGTGGGAGGGTGTCAGTGGGGATTTTACTTCCCCCTCTATGTTTCTGGATGTGTCTCCTTGTAGCATTTTGTCTGGCACCCCTCACCCCTGGTAGGGACACAGTGACCCCGAATCCTCCAGCCCCTCATCCCAGTGCCTCGCTGACTGTGTCTCTGCTCCTTCCGCAGCGGAGCTGATGGAGCGGGCGCCGCCGCTGTGGCCTGCCATGTACCCCCCGACGCGGAGCTCCCTGCAGCACGCGCACCAGCTGCAGCTCCTGTCCCACCAGCAGCTGCTGAGGCAGCACGAGCTCTACATCCTGCAGCAGCAGGCGGCCCACGCCATGGAGCTCCAGAGGAGCGCCCAGCTCGTGGTATGTTCTGAGGAGCTCCTTGCTTGGGGGTGAGATGAAACTGGGGGGGTTGATGGGGAAGAGCAGCCCCGTTGGTGTTGCAGGTGCGTCTCGAGGGTAGGGATGTGCTGGGGAATCCAGCCCTGGTTCCTGCATTCTGGGGTCTTTGGTGTGTCCTTCCAGGTTTTGGAAGGATTTGGTGTGGTGCTGCTGAGTGGTGCAGCCAGCGAGCACCCAGCAGCAGCGTGGCCTTGATTCCTTCCATAGGATCATCTCTGTTGAGAGCTTTCAGCCCTGGTGACCTCTGAGCAAATGTCTCATGGTGGCTCAGAGAAACGTGTGCGATGCTGGCAGCAATGGAGCACCCTGGAGCACCAGACCTGCAGCCTTGCCCAACCTTAAACCTTTAACCCCTCTCTGTTCCAGCCAGTTCTCTGTGTAGGAAGAGTTAGTTTAAGGACAGCGTGCCTCTCCGTCAGACAGATCTTTAAATAGTGTTGCATGGTGGAGGAATATCACAGAATGGTTAAGGTTGGAAGGGACCTCTAGAGATCATCTCGTCCAACCCCCATGCTCAAGCAGGGACACCTCATGTGTGTTATTTTTCCAGCTTACATTTGATAAGGCTGTATTTTGGTCTTGTTTCGTGGTAGGCCCATGTTGCTTTCCAGGAGCGGGTAGAGTCCTGCTAAGTTGTGCTCTGTCCTTGCTGCAGGAGAGGTTGAAAGCGAACGAGCAGCGCGCAGACATGGAAGAGAAGGTGACAAAGCGCAGCCTGGACACCGCCAAGTCAGGCCTCTCCTCCTCTGCGCCGGGCCTGGTGCACCGCAAGCCGCCCGTGCTGTCCCCCAGCGCCTCCACGTCCTACAGCAAGGCTGTGAGTCCACCCCCCCTCTCTCCCAGGGCCTCACCCGTGTCTGTGCTCAAAGCTGAGGTGATCCAAAAGATGGAGGAGCCACCTTCGCAGCCAGCCTACTCCTACCCCGCCACCCCCAGCTCCCATCCTTCCAGCCCGCCCCCCGCCTCTCCACCCCCTGCCCCTGCCATCCCTCCAAAGGAAGAGGCGCCCGAGCCCGTGGAGAAGAAAGAGCTGGAGCTGGAAAAAGAGGCTGCCGGTCCCTTTCAGGCCTTGTTCCCAGGTAAGAGCGCCCTGCTTTGGCAGAGTCCCGTTGTGTTTGTGCCTGGCTCCCTTTTTCTCCTTGGCTCTTTCCTGCTTCCAACCCTTCCCCTAGGGAAAACCGCGTAGCTCCTCTGAACTGCGAGGAGAGGCAGGGGCCAGGAGGAGGCTGGTGGGCTGGGGTCGCTGCCTGGGGCATAGGGGCACCTGGGGCTGTGTGCTCTCTTCTTCCCGTGGGTTGAGCCTGGGCTGGTTCCTCCAAGGCTGAAGTCTTGGTGAGAGGAGGATGCAGGAAGCAACCCCTGCCTCTTGGCACAGGAGGGCATTGGAAAAGTGCAGAAGGGACCTCTTGGGTGCTGCTGCCTGAGGATGAGGGTGGCATCTGAACCAGGAGAGAGGTGCTCAAAGCAGCTGCTGTTGCAGAAGGGGAAACATTGAGAGATGCTGGAAACAAATGCTGTAGTGAGAGAGAAAGTGCCTTGGGGCCCCACCATTATACAGCCTGTGCCGTCTATGTCTTGCAGAGATCCCCCCGGGATACCCGTTCCAGTCCCTGCCTCCTTCCTTCGGGAGGCACTATCCCTACCTCCTGCAGCCCGCCGCAGCGTCCGATGCGGACGGCCTGGCTCCTGATGTGCCGCTGCCTGCCGAAGGCTCTGAGCACATGGAGCTTTCTCCAGAGGTCAAGCCCATCCACCTGTCTCCGTCCAAAATGCTAGAGCCCATCCAAGCAGCAGCAGAGGAGGAGTCCTTGGAAGAGAGGGTGAAGTCAGAGGTGCAGATGGAGGAAAGTCAGGAGGACATGTGCGAGCAGGACATGGGCACTCTGAACATCGCCACCTCCGCAGCCGTCCCGGTGCCCAACGTGGACAACTGCAACCTCCTCTTGCATCAAGGTGAAGCCCTGGGTGCTATGGAGCAGGACCAGGAAGACCTCCAGAGCTGCCCGCCCCCTTACCAGGTTGTGGCCTGCCCAGCAGAAGCAGAGGCCCAGGCAGAGGCTGGGAGCAGAGCAGAGACCTGCTCCATGCACATGGACTATGAGGGCTCGCTTGTGCACGCGGAGAGTGAGCCACCCCACATGGACTTGGCGACACAGCGGGAGGAGGCCTCGGTATCCATGGATCTGCAGAGTGGGGATGTGCCCCGTGGCAGGGAGTTTCCCAGCCTGCCCCCTGAGGAGCGGGAGCAGGGTCCGGAGATCGCTTCCTACACGGATGGGGAGATCTCTTGCCAGATGCCAGCTCTGGACATCAAGCCGGGCGACCCGCTGGCTGGGATGAACGCTTTGGTGGCCGCCACAGAGATGCCCCAGGCTTGTTCCTTGCTGACTCCTGCCAGCGTCACTCCGTCCCAGGTGAAGATGGAAGTGTTACCTGACCAGGCTTTGGAGCACTCCTTCCTGCAAGGGATCACTTTGCTGAGCGAAATTGCAGAGATGGAGCTGGAGAAGCGGAAGCAGGAGATGCAAAGTAAGTTGTGAGTGTGGAGCCCAGTCAGCCTTGGGCTGAGCTGCAGCTCCCTGTGTGCAGCCCCTTGTCGCCTCTAAGGGGACAGAGGAGCAGGGGCAAGTTGGGCTGTCTTGTGACCTCAGGTAGGCAGCAAGGAGCCAAATCCTAAACTATGAGAATCACTGGGCTTCGTGTAGTGTTGGAAGAGAGTTTTTGCTGCAGTAGGTTGAGATTTGTGTGGATTTTGGACTGCTTTCCCCTTCCAAAAGTGCTCTCCACGTCTAGACAGTTTGTGGTGTGCAGAGCGGAAACGAAGGCCCACTCGTCTGGCTCTGCCAGGTTAACACCCCTCTGGCAGGCACTGAGTCCACAGTGTGTCGGAAGAGGCCCCAGTAGCTCCAGATGATGCTTTCCAGTAGGAGCCTGGCAGATCCTGGAGACATCTCACCTTCCAAAAACTTCCTGACACAGGATGCTGAGGGTCTGCTAGTTGCACCATGGCTGGGTACAGGGGGAGATCTCGGGTGGGCCCCCAAGGCTGCAGGGAGGGCAGCTGAGCTGCCATGGCCTGGAACAGGATGTCAGCCTCTCCTTGTGCCCGTTGTGGAGGCAGTCGTGGAGGCTGGACCTCTACAGCCTTTGTTTCTGTCCTTTCCAGCAGGTCCAGAGAGTTTCCCTGTCCGGCCAACACTGGAGAGTTTACTCGCTGCCAGCACCCACATGCTCATGGAAGTGCTTTCTACCCCCTTTATGGAAAGTCTGAAAACCATCCGGCTGCCTCGAGAGCTGAATCCCAACAAAAAGTACAGCTGGATGCAGAAGAAAGATGAATCCGTAAGTAGCTCTGCACGTGGCTGAGCTTGAAAAGCCGTCGCGCGCTGCCCGCTCTTCCAGGCACCGTTTGCACCCGATTTGTGTTGCCCTTTTGCATTTGGCAAGGCGAGACATGGCTTCTCTCTGCGTGTGTAGCTGGGCAGCAGGCTGTGGTGTGATTTTTGCTTCTTCCTGTGCTTGTGAATCAACAGCACTGATCTCAGCAGGCCCCGCCGCAGCCCTAGAAGTGGTGTTTGTAGCACAAAGCCAGCAGGAGCTCATACCTTACTGCTTTGGCAAGGAGGAAGAATAAAGATAGTGGCGGGAAGGTCTTTTTGTCTTTATTTTTAATATTTGATTCTTCTCTACGGGGAGAAACTGGGAAATTCTTTTGTCCTATGTGACCTTTCCCCCAAAATTAAAGGTTCCGAGGCTGGGAATATTTTGATCTGAGTTTTTAAGCAAAGAGGAAGAGACTTCAGAGTTAATTTTATTCTGCAGGTCCTTTCTAGGATTGTTCTCTCTCGAAGGTGATCCTATCCCTAAGGCACAGAACCCCTTTGCTTGGCTGTTTTTGCTCGAGTACCGCTCTAGGGCTGTACTCAATGTGGGTGATGTAAAGATGGGAGTCTTTACTCCCCACTGCTCCACATGGCTGCTCTTGACACAACCACATCCCAAATTTGCCAGTTGTAGCTGTCTAGAAGCAGGTCTGTGTCCACCTTATCCACGTGCAGGGGCCTTTGCAAGGACAGGAGCACCTTTGCCTGCACCACCCCTACATCCAGGCATGGGCCCGGACCTGCTCTGATCCTCTGTGCTTGTCTTGCCTCCCCACCCCAGCTGTACTCCATCAAATCAGCCATCGAGAACATGGATGCCATGGAGCTGGACTACAGGATGCGGCTGGCGGAGCTGCAGCGGCGATACAAGGAGAAGCAGCGGGAGCTGGTGAAGCTGCAGCGCCGCAGGGACTCCGAGTAAGTGTCAGGCTGTTCTCTTGGCCTCTCTCTTTCCAGCTAGGCACTTCCACTGCCTCTTGGTGCTGGAGAGAAACCCGAGTCCCCCTCCTCTCCTCCCAGTATGACCCACCAGAGCTTTGCACAAGACACTCCTAGGCTATGTGGCACCACAACCTCGTGACTGGTGAATGCAGCTGGGAGACTGTATTAGAGACAACCTTGGCTTCAGCAGCTCAGTTTAGCAGTTTGGTGACAGGCGAAGGTTCTGGGTTGGCTTCCATTCTTGCTTGCTTTCTTTTAATTTTTTCCCTTTTTTCTTCCTTTTGGATTTATTTCCCTTTTTTTCCCCTGTTTGTTTTGCTTTTTGGTTGCACAATTTTATTTTGTTTTTTTTTCTTTGCTTTTTTTTGTTTTTGTTTTTGTTTTGTTGCCTTGGTTAACAGTGAAGCGTGTGGTTTTTTTAAAGGGAAAAGCATGACGAGAAAAGTAGAAGCTTGGCGAGAAGAGGCCCTGGAAGGCCCAGGAAGAGGAAACTTGGATCAAGCGCTCTGTCGCCCATTAAGGAGAGAGGGAAGAGTGACAGCAAGAGTGGAAAGTAAGGCTGGAATTTGGGGAAGCCGGGAAAATGGCAGGGTCGCTGCTCAGGGTCCTGCTTGGGGAGAGCACCTCGGAGGCGGCAGGCCCATCCCTGGCGGCCACGGTGTCACGGAAACGTGTGTATTTAACACGAACCGTGGGAATTCCCTGCCGTGGGAATACGGTGCCAGCCTCCTCCCGTGTCCGTGGTGCTGGGTGCAGGCAGGGCAGGCGGAGTTGAGCAGTGGTGACGTTTTTACGGAGCAGCCATGGAGCTACGGGCAAGGTCGTGGTGTCGGGGAGCATCTCTTGGTGCCTGTTCGGGAGAGCAGGGAGCGCTCAGCTAATTGCAAGGAAGCGGTGTCGTAAATGGGAAGGACAGGACTGTTCCAGGTTAACTGCTTTTTAGGACCTTTCTGCTGTGTTTCTGCTGTCTTCTCCTGTTCCCGTAATCAGTGGGAGTTGGTTTGGCCTGATCTCTCCTTATCAAGTGTCTGGATCATTCTGTCTTCTGCTTCTTTTTTTGCAAGTCCAGCTGTTGTTTGGGTGCCTGGATCACAACACAGCCGTCCACAGAACCATATATAGTTGGCCAAGGTTCTCTCAAATGAAGGCACCTCAAAGCTTGCCTCTCTATATGATGTATTTTTACAAATATCCTTTAAAGACCACAAATAAGATTCAGGTCCCCAGCTCCCACTGACCACGTGCTTCTGAAAATCTCTCCTCTTGGTGGCTCTGTGTTTTGCTTCTCTGAGTTGGGTGCCGGGAGAGGCCGGAGAGGCGCTTGGAGTTGTGCATGTGTGCGTGTGTGCTCTGTGCACGTCCCCGTGTCGTGGGGGTGCTGGTGTGGGAGATGGAGGTGCAGCGTGAGGGACCTCAGGTGTCGGTTCAGCTGTCTGTGGAAGTCAGCAGAGAGGACGGAGGAAAGGGGAAACGCTCGGAAGCTGCCCTGCATCCGGGACAGACTTAGCCTGAAGGAAATGGCATGTGAAAGCATTTCACGGAGGCTTGGTGGAAGGTCTTGAGGTGTTGATCCATCATCTGGTTGCTGGACACTGCTGGGGAGCAGCAAAGAATGTGCTTCTAGTCACACCTACTTTATTTATTTACGTATTTATTTATTTGTTTTATTTACCCATCCTTTCGCCCTAACTCCTGGAGAGAGACCAAAGATGCAGACCACAAACATCTCTTAGAGAGGGGCTGGGCTCCTAAGGCTGTTCTTTGGGTGAGCCAGTCCCCCCATTGCCCTCGTCCCCTCCGAGCTGCCCTGTCTGCTGGTTCCTCTCAGCTCTGCTGGGTGGCACCTCCTTGCTCAGACCTGAGTGACGAGAGCAAGAGTCCGGGGGGTCTGGCACCAACTTGGGACCCGGAATCTCCCTCTGCTCCTAGACAGTCCACGCAAACAGAGGTGGAAAAAGACCTACAGGATCAGCTCAGCTGTCTGTTCTTCCCTCTGCTGCTCTCTACCAAATTGGGCACTTTTGGTGGCTTTCTTCTCAAGAAAACTACTTCCCTTCAGGGGCCACCTTGCAGGTGTCTGGTTTCAGCTAACCTTGTCTATGCTGGTAGCTGAGAGCGTGCAAAAGCAGGGCCCGTTGGCTTTCCTGTTCAGTGGAAAACAAAGTCAGGCCCTTGGCTTGTCCAAAGGGCCATCACTCCACAATGGACTTGGCTCCCGTTGAGCTTCCCTAGGAGGCATTAACCTCCTTTTGGAGCTTGGTGGGTCTCACAGGGAGGAAGGACCCCGTCACCCTGACCCATCCTGTGCTTGACTTGCAGACTGAGCAAGTCCTTGTTGCTCTCTGAAGACTCCGAGACTGGTGAGGGCATGAAGAAGAGGCACAAAGGGGCCCTCCCTGAGGAGGATGATGATGTGGACAGCAGCAGTGGCAAGATGAAAGGGAGAAACCAGAGCTGGGAAGAGCACGATGTGACTCCCAGCTTCTCAAATGAGGTCAGTGCCTTCATGGGGGATGCAGAGCTGTGGGCAGAAAGCAGATTTCTGTCCTTTGCTGGTGCCAGACTGCACTGGATGTCTCCTGCAGGCCTTAGAGCCTTTGCTCTCAGCCCTCATGTGCCTACAAACTCCTCCCAGGAAGGCTCTCCGTGCTGTGGGGAGGTATGTGCAAGTGATAGCTTTCACTGAACCTCCTTGGTAGACAAAAGAGAGAAATAAAAACGTTTTCTTCTGTAAATGAGGTATTTACCAGTGAGGTGTTTGCCAGACCTTTAAGCTAATGATGAAATCCCAGATTCCTACAGGCAAAGTATGTGTTAGAGGTGCTGTTATCTAGCTGCAGCACATGTAAAGTATATTTGCATTATGGAAGGATCAAGAGAATACAGAAAAGTGTAAGAGCCCCGTGTATAACACAGCAGTCCTCATGCTCTTGCTGAGACTTATTTGTCTTTTCTCTTTTTGGCATCCAGACTGTAGAGTGGTTGATTATGTGGAAATCTTTATTTAGTTGAGGTTTTTTGGGGTAAAGAAGACTTTTAATCCTTGGGATTTAGAGAAAAGCTTGCAAAACTGGCCTAAGCATATCCTAAAATCCAGAAGGTGATGAGAAAAAAAAATCCTTGAAGAACATGTTGTTCTGTGGATGTATTTCTTTTGAAAAACAACTATTTTTTTTTCCAAGTTAATCTCCTAATGTTCAACAGGGGTGAAGCTGAACTGCTCCCTGGCATCTCCCTTCTCTTCCTCTTCACTCCCTTGTCTGGTTATGGCAGCCTTGGGGGTTAAGTCCTTCCTTTCGAGACTATATTAATTGGCATGCACGAGAGACTGAAACTGGAGCTTGTAAAATCCATAGGGTCTGCCACAACATCTGCTCTGTGTTCACCACTGTCCCTTCCTTTCCCCTCGCAGTTGAAGCTCAAGAAGAAGAAAGTGCCATCAGATCAGGAGCAGCTGGCCAGCAAGCTTGACAAGGCCTTGTCGCTCACCAAGCAGGACAAGCTCAAATCCCCCTTCAAGTTTGCCGACAGCTCTGGGGGGAAGACAAAATCGAGTGGAGGTGGCAGCAGGTACCTCCCACCCCATGAGACCCTGCCGAGCAAGGAGGAGAAGAAGAATCTGGCCAAGAACCTGGGCCTGTCGCTTAAAACCGCCAAGGAAGGTAAAAGCAAAGTGGCTGCCAAAATGAAGAAGATGGAGGTGGGGTTAAAAGTCAAAAATCAGCTCAAGGTTTCCCATTCACCAGCAATATCTGAAGTTAGCAGCTACTCCTATAGTAAGTAACCCCTCATTTATCTCTTCTTATGGTGTGATCTGTTGTGGGGGTTGTGGCAGGGGATTCTGACCCCTTGGAAGGAGTCTTGGAGATGGATCTGGTTTTGCTCTGTATGACAAATGGTTCTCCTCAACTAATCAATGCTGAGGTGCCTTTGGGGTGAGTGTGTGTTGCCCGGGGCCCACCCAAATCACTTTCCAAGAGGCAGCTGACATTGGTGTCTCTCTGGCCAGTGTTGTATTGGTGGTCATTGAGGAAGGATGTTTTAAGACTGAAGTTAACCCATGTCCTTGCTTTCAGCGGGAATAAGCACTCTCCATCTAGCTGCCAAAAAGGAACTCTGCTGCAGAGGTGTTTTGTTGTTGATTTTTGAGGTCCTTGGAAACTTGGGTAGGATTAAATGTAGGATCGTGCCGTGGAGGTAGCTAGAGAAGGTGAAGCCTGCCAGGAGTTGCTGATGTTTGCAGGCATCCCCTTCCGCTTCTTCAGTGTCTGGCTTTGGTTTCTTATGGTTTGGTTCCTAGCTGGCTGTGCTCAGCCTTCCTGTCTGTCTCCTAGGGGTTCATCTCCATGCCAGTATTGTGTGTACTGACTGCTGTAGTCCTTCCTTCTGAACTCCACGTGTATTCGAGGTGGAGGATCCTAGATTTACGAACTAGGCAGAGTTAGTGACCTCTGCTAAGAAAGGAAAGGAAAAGAAAGGAAAGATCTGAATAACAGATGCTGTTGGGAAGGTGTTAGGGTCAACCAATCGACATGTGATATGAGGAGGCCATTACATTGTGGTCTCCAGCTGTGGTAGGAGCCTTCAGAGCATCAGATGATAAATGTATTTAAGAAAGCATGGTAGTGAAAGGCCCTTGGTGCCAGCTGTGCCAGTGTGGCCAATGTGGCTGGCAGTTTGAGCGTGCCTGGGCTAGCCTTGACGTGCTTGATCTGTTTCCAGAACTCGTGACTTGGGGTGATGATGAGATGCTGTTGCTGGGACAATGGATAGGAGCATCTGCTGAAATAATAGCACATAAATGTGCTGTGTGTGCTGCCCTTCATTCCTCAGAGAGCAAAGATGATGCTAGGAGAAACAGATGACTTTTTCTTTAATGGTTCAGGCAGAAGATGGGGCATAGAGCTTGTTAGGGCCTCGGAGTTTATGATCTGAGGCTTTGTTGTTTAATCGTCTTAGCTCACTTAAATCCAGATCTTTTCCTTTGCTTACAGCTACGTAAGTTGCATGTTGAAACACTTGCAGAGTATTTGCAAATACAACAAATGTATGTCCCCATGCAACGCCAGTTTAGAAACGGCACAAATGGGGAGGATGATGAGCTAGAGATTTTCCAACTGAACAAATGTTTGGCATGAAATTAGCCATTAACTTGGCAAAATAAGAGCCACTGTGTCCGCTGGACTTGAACACATCATTCGACCTTTGGCTGGCTGTGAGGCACAAACCATCCATCTGTTCTGCTCTTGAATATGTTTCTCATCCAGGAACAGCCCTATGGCTCCTAAACTGGGAGCTCTGTAGCTTTTGGGGAGAAAAGCAGGGTCATGGGTGGAGGGGAGGCACAAGCCAGTGTTGCAGCTGGAAGCCTTGGCTCTTGGCAGAGTTTTTTCAATGCACTTACACTCGGTGCTATGGTTTGAAGACCAAAAACTGCCTCCCAAGATCTAAAGGAGCTGTTGCTTGAACCCCACCATCCCTCCAACAAGACTGTCTGTACATGAGCAGTGTAGAAATGTGCCCTCTGAAGTAGGATAATAATTACTGAAGAACTTTGTGAAATGGCTCAGTGCTAGTCCCAGGCTTTTCAAGTGTGTACAACTTCAAAGGAAGGGCTTTAGCTGGTCGTTTGATCACCCAAGCATGATGGATTTGGGAGGGCAGGTTGAGCATATGGCAGCATCTCCATGACTGGTGGGCTTTTTCCTGTGGAGGAGGAGAAGTGGGACTCATGCCAAATCCTTCCATCTCATCCTAACCTCATGACTCTCAAGCTGGAGTACGTGAAGGTCTTTGGCAGAGATCCAAAGAGTGCGCTGAGTGATTGCCACTGATTTTAACAGAAGTGCCCCAGGCCATTTGTGGATTTGGGCTTTGGGGCCTCCTAATTTGCCAGCGCTCGTTCCACTCTTTCCAAAACCAATGCAAGAGAGGCAGAGTGCCGTGCCTAACCTGGACCAACATCGGAGAGCATCTGCTGCCATGGTGAGCGGTCCCCATGGTACCACCTGTAGCACCGCAGTGCTGATGGTGCCTTCGTGAGCTATAACAGCTTATATGCACGTGGGTCCCATGTACTTTTTATTTCACACCTCCAACTTGGGAGAGAACTTCTGGAAAACTTCCTGGCACCCGTGGGGCTTGTCAGTTTACGAAATCCTCAGCTTGCAGGAATGACTTAGTCTCTGCTACTTCTTGGTGTCTGCTACAAAAGCCCTTTGGAAGAGTAAATCCTGTAAGAAGGAGAATTTGGGAACGGTGTGTTTTAGCATCACTGTTGTTCAGAGTAACGCAGATCAATGGCCAGCTGGTGGCATTGCTATGCTTCGAATAGGCATCTTCCTAACGGCAAATCCTGCCCGAGTTTTCTGTTCTTAAGCATAAAACCCCCTCAAATCCTACCCAAAACCGAGGAAGGACTGCAGCCGCCTGGCCTAAGTGGAGAGTGTTTATTTCCAACAGTTGGCAGCACCTTGGGAAACACCAATTTTGGTCATTTTGGGGCTCCTGCCACGACTCAGCACCTCGTTTGAAAACCACTTGGCACTGCAGCAGTGCCCCCCAAAAAAACACCCCAAAAAACCACCCCCGTCGGCCGCTTTTAACGCTCTTCCCCCTGCTCTGACCGCAGATACGGACTCGGAGGAGGAGGGATCGCTGAGGGACGAGTGGCCAGCACAGTCCCCGTGCGGCTCCAAGCCCAGGCCGCCTGGCCTCTACAGCGCAGCGGCCAGGAAGGGCGGCAAGGCGGCCGGCGGCCTCAAGGCAGCCGCCCGCGGGCTGGCGCCCGGCCGGACTCTCAAGGCCAAGGCGGCCGCCGGGCGGAAGCAGCCCTTTTGCTTGCTGCTGCGGGAGGCCGAGGCGGGATCTTCCTTCAGCGACTCCTCGGAGGACTCGTTTGATCAAGGTTACTAGCTTATAGCACGCGCGACCCCCCCGCGCGCCCCTCTCCCATGGCGGCGGCGGGTGAGCGGGCGGGCCGGGGCGGCCAGGGGCCTGGCGGGCCGGGTCAGCCATTTTGATGGTCGGAGTGAGGTCGGCCATCTTTGTTCTTGGCAGCGTAGCCTGCTTTATCAGCCCGGCTTTTGGTTTATTTTGTCTTTTTTATCTTTTTTTTTTTTTATCTTTTTTTTTTCTTTCAGTTTTTATACCTGTATCATTGTGATATTATAACCGGCTGGCTCCTTGAGAGCTTTTCTATCAACTGGGTTTTAGTGTCCACCTGTCCCCTGCTTTCCTGCTCCCCTTCCTCCCTTCAGTTTTTGCCCTCACTTCCTCCCTTGCTACCACCACCACTTTATTATTATTTTACTGTTACTATTATTTTTATTATTATAATTATCCTTATTATTATTATCATCATCATTATTTTATTTTTCTAATTATTTTATCAAAGGCCTTTTACAGAGGTTTGGAAGGAGCTTTCCATTTTGTTGTTTGTTTTCCTCCTTTTTTTTCTTCCTTTTTTTTCCTTCCTTCCTTTCCTATTTTTATTATTATTATTATTATTATTTTAATACCGGGATACTGTCGTGTGGCCATGTGACTTGATGTTTGTACTGCGATTTGGTATACCAAGCTTTATTAAACATACCGAGTTAATTTTTAACTAAACCTGTGTACCTTGTCTCTCTTGCTGTGTCTCCTACTAGGCGAGTAGGTTGCCGCTTCCCTCCATGCTGCTCTGCATCCCCCTCCTGCTCCCACTCCCCATGAGTAGAACTGGAATTAACCTAGTCTTGGGTACTCTCTATTATTCAAATATCCCTGCTGGTGACTGTCCTCTGCTGCCTTTGCTGAGATTAAAGCCTAGGCCTCTCTCCCCCAACCCTCTCACTCTCTTAATTTTGTTTTTTCTTTTATTTTTATTTTTGTCCATCATGGTTTTTTTTCTGACATTTTTCCCATTCTTGGTAGGCTCTCTGAAGGGGGCTCGGTCCTTCCCGTTGCTCCGGATGGGTGCTGAGCACCAGGTCTCTATGATTTGAAAGCCAGAATTTTTTAATTCCCTAAAACACATACTTAAATGCTCTTTTTTCCAGTAGTGTTTTTTAAAATTCTTATTTTTTTTTTCACATGCCCAGGCATACCCAGTGTCCAAGGATGTGGCAATTACTGCACCAAATTTGACTCTGCGCTTTTCCTCCCCCACCCTCACCCCAGGTTCTTTATCCTTTTTTTTTCTTTTTCTTCTCCTTTCTTTTTCCTTCTTTT